ACTGCAGTGAGACAGAGTTTTTAAATTGTATCATTATATGGGTTGCATCACTCTGGAAGTGCCAGGGATGTTGCAATCTAGTCACAAGTGATGAGAATGGAACTCCTTTGGCCTCTAAGTCCATCACTGGTGTCTCCTGCCCCAATTCTTCTGGTTTAGGAATTTGTCATGAGACAGTTAAGGACATCTTTGCATGAAACCCTACATGGATTTTGTCAGAGCGAGGAGTGTATAACTCATTATCACTTCATGGTCTTCGAAGCTGTGTGGGTTCTTTTGTCTCTCCCCCTTTTTGAGCATTATGCATATTTCATTAATTTGAAAATATGGTCAGACGAGACCTTACTGAGTAAGAAAATAATTGTTACATCAATAGGATATTTCTCCCCCTTGAATCAGTGCCGCAAGATTGTCCTTGCATTAGGATCTGTGGGAATTCCAGATAACACACTTATCTGTCTGCCCTCTTAACAACTTTTTATACCATTTTCTTTTTCTGAAGGATAAGCATTTTAACTTGGTAGGACACAGGGCTGGATTCTGCAAGAAGTACATAAACCAAAGGGTATTAAAAAAAAAAAAACCAAAAACCCAAAAACCAAACAACACATGACACAACCTGACTTCAAAAGCAGTCTCTATATCATCCAAATCGGTCACAAGAACAAAGTTTCTCTGGTATATTCTGAAATGGTGTACATTTACCTTTCTGTGGAAAAGTTATATATCCTTCTTGACCAAAGTCTATCATTGCTAGGTTTCAAACTGTGAACTTAAATGTTTGCAAAGTTTTCTCACTCTGAATTCAAAAGAAATATAACATTACACAAATTTCAACTTCTACTCTGACAGTGCCTCCAGAAACATTTTTAGGATTAAATATTACATGACAAACTAATCCCTGTCACCTGTCAGTGTAACACTATCTGTGAGTGACACGCTGCTGACTTCTTCCCCAGAGGGAACCAGTAGCCTATTTATTTAGAAATCTGTTATACGGCTCAATCAATGACTCCTCTGTCTTGTTCCCTTGACTATTCATTAGTTCTAATTAGAAATAAAAGCCTGGAAGAGCAAACTGGCTCTGCTCAGTTAATATTGATTACAAAAAATTAAGACAATAATCAATAAAGACATAAAGTCCTCTCATTTCTAGAGACCTAATGCCCTTCATTGCTCCTAAGGGCCACTGCTCTTTATAGCTGTTCGATAACCCACACTCAGAGACCTCTTTTTTAATATGCTAAATTTTTAATATGCTCTCCACTTCCTATTACTTGAGATAATTAAAGGTTGAGATAGCCGAAGTGATGAAAAACTTAGTATGCCTTGTGTGGCAAGGATAGCAAAGGAGCACCTGATATGTTCTCCTGACTCACATGGTGTGGCAAGGGTTTAGCCCAATGTCCAATGGGATCTCCTCCTGCTCACTGTGGACAGACTGGCTGGGGAAGCAGCAGGGTCACGTGCCATGTCCTGTCTGGGACACTAGGCCATTTTAACCCACCATCTGCAATAACTCACATCAGGGCTCAGATTTGTTCGTATCTGAGATTTGAGTGCTGCTGGCAGAATATTCCCCACTTTTGCCTCCCAATCAAGTTACTGTTCTCAGGTGAAAGTTTAACATAAATAAAAGAAGTAAACCAGGATCCTGACCCATACTGACAGTGTTTAGTCTAAGTGTGAGAGAAGGGGTTTCCTTCTGTACATGTTCAGGGAATTCAGAAAAAGTAGGGGTGGACTATTGAAGGCTAGGATGTGAGAGACAAGTGTCAAAAATACACAGCATGGGAGCATCAATCTCTTAATTCAAGCAAAATGTTCAGCCAGATTCATGTTATATAGAGAGTTTAGGAATTTAGGAGGGAAGAGGAAGTGCATCTGTGAGTATGTTCCTTGTAACTGAATTATCTAGCCAAAAATAATAATAACGACGATGTTGTTTTATCTTGAAAGACTGGCTATCAGGAAAAGATTTCAACTTCAAGTATTCTGAAAATGGCATGTTTAGAACCAGGAGTGATGGAAGAATAGTTATCTTACATGAGTCTTTATTCATTACTGGATTAGAGTTTACTTAAATAAGAAAAATTAAAATTTTTGCATTTTAAGCAAGTGCTTTCTTAGCTTTTAATGTTAGCCACCTAAAATGTTAAAAACTGCATCAGTCAGGTGGACCATAGAGGTGACCATAATCAACAAATGCCTATTGGTGTTGTAACATCTGGCTTTCGCGGCTGCTAACGTATTTTTAAATAGTGCTTAATTAAAAATGTAAGGCCCTTGTACTCTCATTGTAGACACTGCCCTTGACAGGAAATTATACCTGTTCAGACAGCAGGTAGAGCAAGGAGTATATATGTGTTCTGGTGAGTGACTATAACAACAAGGAGGACAAAAAAAGCCTTAAGCCAGAAATAAGTTGTCTGGGCAACAAATTAGTCTGCTTTGGGTTTGAGGTCTTGCACAGAGAGCAATGCAGATGGACATCCCCAGTCTTTGCACTAGGACCACTTTAGCTGGAGTACAGAGTCTAAAACCAAAGAGCTGCAAGCTAGGAGATATAAGTTTACAAAAATGTAGGCCCAAACTAAAAATTCTACTTCTTTCAACACAGAGAGAAATTACCTCCTGGTGACAAAATTATATAAATTTGGAGAGAGCATGTAAGTTGTAATAAGGTGCTCTAGCTCAATGCATTTTTGTTAAAAAAAAAATCTCCACAGTATTTTCCATGTTGAATACTCCTTCATTGTAAGAAACCAGAAGAAGAGGGGGGACTAAACTACATCTGTTTATATGAGCATGACTTTAATTGCCTTACTACTAAATTTATGCAAAAGGTGAAGCATCTACAGTTCAGGTAATTTCAAGCAATCCTGAACTGTGCTTGTTAGATAGCTCAATAATGTCATGAGAACATGTACAAGGAAAACACATTTTCCCTTTTTTATTCTTCTGGAAAAACTCATCAAGTCCAAGGAGCACTCCAGGAGCAGGAGGATTCAGAGGAAATATGCTACTACTTCTATCCTCTCTCCTCTGGGACAGGTGTGACTTAAGCTGCATACACACACATTCCCTCTTTGGCACCTTTGACAGATGCATTTGATGACCTACTGCTGCAAGACCAGCTGGGAGGATCTTGGAGGCATCAAGGCAAAACTTCCCTCCTTTTTATACAAAGTGACCAGATGCCATAACACAAAGCATTTAGATAGCCACTACATATGGGGGCTCACAAAGGGAGACCATAAAAAAAAATATTAATCATGTTACAGTCCTTTAAAAAAACACCAAGCAGACCTGCTCATTTTCTTCAGTCCTCAAAGAATCACTGTCTTTCACCCCCCCAAAAGCTTTCTGATGGTGGTGGGAACCTGGCTGGTTGCTCTTCTCTACATGGTGGAGTGGAAGGCTTCCTATGCCTTTCAGGGTGTGCCTGTGGAGGTCATGGTAGCAGATGAGAACTAAAGGGGAACACTTACTTCCAGATATTCAAGAGCCCTCCCTAGTGCCAAGGTCTTCAGGGCATCAACCCCTTCAGCGTGCACGGGAATTGTGGTGGACACGTGCATGCCTGCCAACCAAGGAACAGGACAGCTTGTTAGCCACTGTCACATCCTTCAGAAGCATCAACCCTCTCTGTCTGGGGCAGGGAGGGAAATAGAGGATGAAACTCAGAGACCTGCGGGCAAGACTCATGTTCCTGATTTGCTGCAGGGATCATGTAGCTGGTCCCAGTGCAGCCCACAGCAAAGGGTCTGCCTGAGGGGGCACCCAGCTGGCAGAAGTATGCATGTTAAGAAAATTGTTATTTCAAATGACCGGTCTTCTGAGATGGTTTATGGTGTCTGACTTTTGAACATTTACATGAAAAGACAAGGGAAGGGAAAGAAAAAAATAGGAAAACATTTTAATGTCAAGGCTTTTTTGACAACACAGATGAACATCAGCCCTTACTGAGCTTTAAGCTCAGGATCAAAAAAACTGTTGGTTGCTTGAGTTTTCCTCCTGGAAAGACCAGAACCTGTAGTGTGCAGGGAGCCTGCCCCTACCTACTGGCTTGGCAGGAGAGAGAACAACAACCACACAACAGTATAAATGCACTTCTGAAAAGGCTGTTAATTAAAAAAAAGAAAAAAAAGATTGTATATATCATCCACATGACACTGACACATTCCAATTTGTATTATATGACACATACTTGGAATATTTACATGACTGATAAGCATATTAATAAGCGAAGCTTTGACAGGAAAGTATATTTCAAGGCTTGGATTTCTTTGACATAGAGCTCTGTTCTGGAGATAATTAGTGCTGCCTGCTTTCCTCTTGCTCACAGCAGAATTTTTCCTCATACTAGAAAGATTATTCAGAGCTTTTAAAAATCCTGTTCAGTTAAATGCAACTAGTAAAGGGTAACAGAGCACATGCCAAATAAGAGACAAAGAGAAAATAAAAACTTATTAATTTAAGGAATCATTTGAAGATCAACTCTGCATTTTGTTTTGCTTCTGAAATAGCTGGTAATGAATATTGATTTTGATGACTACTTTTACTATTTTTGCTAGACCATGAACTGTATCCAATGTTCACCTCTGAATAGGAATGAGCAAACCAGATTGGAAATATATATGTTTGCTGCTCTGAACACTCTTTGAATCCTTACTCATTTAGAGGATGAAACCCAGACTACATCCAGCCTAAGAGTCTGAACTTCAGCATCCATGGGAGCTTCTGGTTTAGTCTCCATATAAACTAGACTCACACTTCTTCTTGCATGGTGGCCTTTTCACTCATTGTGCTATGTTGTGGGTCCTCTGTCTGTAATCTGTAGGGTGTGACAAGTGTAAATATGTCTTTAGAGACTGAGATCAGATAGTTCCACCGTTTCTTCTGTAGTAGTGATGGAGGCATCCCACCTTCAGAGTGATTTTTCTCTATTGCAGTGTTGTGCATGTGTCAAAGACAGAAGAGTTCAAATATCTGATTCCATCATTATTTTTGGAAGGCAATCACTCAAAAATGATTGTCATAGACTTTCTAGTTTGTTTCCTGCAGTGCAGACTGGAAGGGCCTGGTCTTGGGTTTTTCTGCAAAACCCAAAGAGATTGTGACAGAAGACAAGCGTACGTCAGAAACATTTCTGCAGGTCCAGCTGGGAGTAGGTGTCACTAGCAGAAAGTCTGTGGCAGAAATCACCAGCAAGCTGAGAAATCCAGTGGGAAGGTAAAAAGAGATGTTCTTTCTTAGTAACTTTAAATCAAATTGGCCTAATATATTTTTAATTTTTACAAGCGTGAGCACCAGTTTAATTTGTTAGCAATACTGTTAAAACACATAGTTAGTACTTATTAAACCATCCGTCTCTTTATGGTGGTACATCGTCATGCGAAATGGAGCAGCATCCTTTAGTCTGCCAAAACAGAGATTATATTAATCTATAATAAACTGACGGGGAGATAAGTTTGGAGTGTTTTAATCAGACTTGATTCTCCACACTTCAGAGACTTGACTTGGAATTTGAATATGCATAATGCCTTCCTTATTACAAGGTGTAGCTGGTTTTTGTTTGGTTTTTTTTTTTGAAAACGAAGAGCCATCAGTATTTTTGCACATCTGAAGTGTCCCTGAACAATTAGGGCTGGAAGGCACTGCAGGAGGTCTTTGGTCCAAACTCTCCGAGCAACCTGCACCCCTGCATGACTGTTCTCATGGTGAAAACTATTTTCAGCATATGCCCATTTTCTCTCAAGCTCTTGCCATACACCACTGGGAATAGCCTGGATCCCTCCTCTCACCCAGTGCCCATAGGTGCTGAGAGGGCTGCTGTTAGATCCCCCTCAAAACCCATCTCTTCCTCAAGCTTAACCAGCCCCATCCCTAACCTTATCCACAAAGCACAGGTTCTGCAAACCCAACCACTTGGGGTCCTCCCCTCTAAACTTTGTCCAGTTAGACAACTTACTGATGTCTTTCTTGTCATCACAGGTCCAAAACTAGACACTGCATCTTGAGGTGAGTCAGTTAGTGCTGAGTAGAGAGAGAGCTAATCCCTTTTCTTAGCCTCCTTTCCTGCCAGGATACACTGCTGACTTGTGATGAGCTCACTGGTCTTCCTTGTAGAGCTGCTCCCGAGCCAGTCTACATAGCCTATGCTATTGCCAGGGGCTCTTCCTTTCCAGGTACAGGACTTTGCATTTGTCTTTGATTGATTTCCAAAGGTTCCTGTTGGTCCCTTCCTCCTACCTGTCTAAACTGTCTAAACTCAGTCCTTGAGTGACTGCCCTCCCCCTGGGGGTGTTGATGATGCCCCCAGTCTGAGTTCATCTGATGAGAGTGCATAGAGTCACCTATTCCAGGTGATAAAGCTGCTAAACAGGACAGCTCCCAGGATGCACTTCTGCAATATTCGTCATGTAACTTGCCTATAGGTAAGGAGCAACCCATTCCCCGCTACCATTTGAGCACAATTGTTCAACTCTTTTTTACTTAGTTGCCTACCCATCCACTTATTCATAGCTAACTTGGATACAAGGCCATTGTGGGAGACAGAGTTGAAAGTCTTGCCAAAGTCAATGTAAAGTGCATGCAGTGCTATCATAGAATCATATAATCATTAAGACTGGAAAAGACCTCCAAGTTCATCAAGTCCAACCTTTGACCAAACACCACCATGCTCTTGCCTCATCTGCAAAGAAATTGGACTACTCAGGCATGATTTATCATTGGTAAATCCATGATGGCTTTTCAGTCATCTTCTGCTACATGTGCCCAAAATGTGTTCCAAAACCAAATAAGTTTACAATATAACAAGCAACTCTTCCTCCACAAGAATTAAATGCCTCTCTGTCTTTTCAATAAAGCCTTCTAGGAATCCACCCTGTCCACCAGGTGCTATTGGGAAGCTCTATTAGCATTTCCAGAAACATTCCTATCCTTGAGGTAAATCTTCCAGTTTAGTGTTTTGATTGCAACTTTTATGATGCTTTAAACCTCATCGCTCAGATTGTCTCCCAACTGTGCAAGAGATTCATGCTCTTACATGCCTTCAGCATTTCTACAAAATCCAAATCAAGGACATGGCAGGAACAGCTATGGTAATTTTTTCTTCTGAAGGGAACCAAGGTACGGGATAGCAGGTGGAGGCTGGAGCATGCTCAGTTCTTGCTCCAGCATAGGTCAGGAATAAGGTTAATCAAGTTGGGTGCCAGGATGCGTGTACTCACCCTTTGGACACTTTGGAATCCACCAATACAGATGTAGGTCCTGTAAAGCCAAATAGCTGAGAAAAGTCTGTTTTCGTGCCAGAGCAGAAGAGACATTTCAGAACAATGCTGCACTCCAATGGAAAAACAGACCCACTTCTAGAGAGATATCAAGTCCATGCACAAGGCATATACTGTGTCTTTCTTGGGGACTGACACTATAATGTTGGTAGACCCAAGCCTCCTATATTGTTAACTAGTCTTTGTCAGGTGAGAAGGTGGGGTGTTTCGATAAATTAAGTAAACAAGATTAAATCTGATCTGGCCCAGTTGCAGGGGTTAACAGTCTTGGCAAAACACATAGCAAGCAGTGGTGGCATAAGAGATAGAAGATAGAAGAACTGTACACTTAAATAACTTCTGAAGTATGTCACTTAATGCACCAGCAGCATGAACCGTAACTTCAGCAGAAGGGAAGAGCACCATCTACTGAATATCAAAGAAAGTCGTCACTTTTCTTACGCTTTCATTGAAACATTAAGGTTGAAAAAGATCTCTAAGATCATTGAGTCCAACCACTAACCCAGCCCTGTCAAATCCACCACTAAACCACGTCCTCAAGTGCCCCATTCACACTTTTAAGTACCTCCAGGGATGGTGACTCAACCACCTTCCTGGGCAGCCTGTGCCAATGCTTGACAACCCTTTCAGTGAAGGCATTTTTCCTTATATCAAATCTAAACCTCCTCTGGCACTTGAGGCCCATTTCCTCTTGTCCTATCACTTGTTACCTGGGAGAAGAGACTGACCCCCACCTTGTTACAACCTCCTTTCAGGTAGTTGTAGAGAGCAATAAAGCTCTCCTCTGAACCTCCTTTTCTCCAGGCTAAACAACCTCAGTTCCCTCAGCTGCTCCTCATCAGACTTGTGCTCCAGACCCTTCACCAGCTCCACTGCCCTTCTCTGGATACGCTCCAGCACCTCAATGTGCTTCTTGTAGTGAGGGGCCCAAAATTGAACACCTTCAGTAGAGGTTGCTCATTCACAGACAAACCATCAGATACTGGGAACTGTATGGGTCACTGGGGAAGTTACTTAACCTGTATTAACAATTGGCTGGATCATATCAAGGACACAAAAGGATTACATCCCTCTCAAACCTTTAAGACCTTTCTAGAACTCTGAAATTCACAATAGCCATAATATCTGAACCCTTTCTTCACCCTGCTGTCTATTAGTTATGTGTTTATCTAGTGAAGCTAACTCACTAAACTGTAAAAATATTTTAAAATTAAAAAAAAAAAAAGACAAAAGAGGATTAGTTAAAGATTCATCAATTTTAATTTTAATGTAATGGATTATGAGCCAGCTGGGAAATCACTTATTTGGGTTGACCTTCTTTCATACTGTTGTAATAATGTGCTCTTCCACCCATCCCCAGTCCTTTTCTCTCCACTTAGATATGCTCTTAGAATAAAATAAGCCTCAGATTTATATTTCTAGAATTTTTTGGTCATGACTTTATTATTTCTTAGTTTGGCTTTTTAAAGCACTTGCTAAATTTGCTTGTAGTATGAAGCTACAGTAATCCACCATCCTCCTACACTGCAGTCTGTTCTATCCTACACTACATAAAGATTCTGTTGCTGTCACGGCGTGGGAACTGTGCATTGAAGCACCTAAAATAGATTCAAAAGGAAAAGAAGGGCTACAAAGAAAAATGGGAAGACATTCTGAGTGCTCAGTTCTGTGCTCAGGACAAAACTGCATTTTCACATCTCCATGTCTTTTGAAAAAATTAGCCCTTTACAAGGAAACTCAAGATAATCTCACTGTTTTGATTCATTTTCTGAAAGATATAACCTTCTTAAAAATTCACTTCTGAACTCTGGCCAGCCCAACAAGCACAGCTTTATCAGCTCTGTAAAAAGGGAATAACAGGTCTTGAACCAGAGATGCAGCCATTTTATTTAAAAAATCTGGTCTGCATGTGTTACTGCACAGTGGGAAGTGGCGATCTCCATAACACAACCATTGCCAGAGACAGCATAATCACATTGAAAGCCCCACCTCCATGCTTCTTTAGCTGCTGGTGCTTCACTAAACATTTTAGCAAAATTACATTGTGACATCTAATTCACTCATGCCATGATCCAAATGAAAACAACACATGACATGATAATATTATTTTTCTTCTTTTACTTGGAAGTAATTTTAAAATTATAATAAAGGATTCCCAAATAGATGAGTTTGTTAGCTTTGGAAATATCAAACATACCAGGAACAAATAGTAGGATCATATCAAAGTTCTATCTTTCAGGAATACAACTCATGCAATTTTTTAAAAAGTACAGAAATATATCAGGTTAAGTTTTATAGGCAAACAAGCAACAAAGCCTGATCAGCTTGTCAGTTCAAGAATGATAGTAAACGAATGTCCCATTTCACAAAGATTGCCACAAAATCATAACACAAGTCTGACCAGAGGTCAGAAGAAACTTCAAACAATTAAAATTAAAAAACAAACAAAAAAACCCCCAAAACCAAAAAACAAACAAAAAACCCCAAAAACCCCAACACCCTAATGTAATCAGTAGTTCTGGGGGTTTTTTTAGCAAATATTCCAATTTTCATTTGTCTAATAAGATACAACATTTTAAAAACTATACCAAACCCCCATTTTGAAAGGAAAAAAAATCATGGTGAATCATTTTTATTCTTTCAGTTGAAATGAATGCAGTGCAAAATTCTTTTGAGAAAATGCTGACTGAGAAGCAGTCTCTGACAGAGAAGCAACTTTCTTCTGAGCCATCTTACTGCAATTGCCTGTGATTTCCCTGCTCATGCCCTCCTGGGTACTATGTGTTTCTCACACACAGTCATTCTACTGTCAAGATGACAACAAATGTGGAATGACTATTAGGGAAAGTCCTTGTGTGGACAAACTCTCTGCAGTGATACACAAACCCTGCTCTTACTTACAAACTGCCGCCAATGGCTCTACTGTCACATTTCTCTCTGGATTGGATTGGCAAAATCTCTACAGCATGGCACACTATCTGCGGGATCTCTGGATACAGTAAACTCCTGCAACTGTAGGTGCCTTTGGGCACTGGTACCATCTGGTGTTTCTGGCTCTCAGCTTAGCGCATACCATTTTGTTTTCGAAAGATTGAAGTATCAGGTCATGCCTCAGCTCCTAGGAGGAAAATTGACTGATCATTATGGGTTGTGATCTGCAGAAGGTCATGATGCAGATGTAGACACCGCTCCTGACGTGGCCTTCTGTAAAACTGATGAACTGCATTAAGACCAGAAGTTCTCCACAGAAATATTTAACGTGACAGTTTGTTTTTTTTCAGTAACATGTGGAAGCCAAAAAATGTATAACCTATGCTTTGCAACCTATGATGCTGGAAGAGCATTATGTTCTTCCTTTGGTAAGCCTCTAGGGGACCCCTGGTGGCCTAGTGGTTAGCATGCAGGACTCTCACTGCTGCAACCACGGGTTCGAATCCCAAGTCCCCCGGGCAGATGGTAGCTCGTTAGCCCTGTGAGGCCATCCATCTATGAGAAGGACACTCTAAACAAACCTACGTCCTGAGGACCTCACTGCCATTGTCCAAGCTTGCTTGGCCCCGGCAGATGAACCTTAGGATTAAAGGGTGGGCTCAGTTCAGCGCAGGCTGTGTCTCACCTAAAAAATCCATTGCGCAGGCTGGAAAGGTAAAAAGACCTTTCCCCAGATCTTCGTTCGCGAAGACTGGCCATTATATTTTATTATATATTGGTAAGCCTCTGAGTCAATTTGCATTTAACCATTTCCTTAGCCATGCTGAACTCCTCTTGGTATTACTGGTGAAGCTCATAGCTAGAAATGACACCCAGCTCCCAATCTGGGACTTGTGAAGTAGTTCCACCTCAGAGAAGGTAATGGCCCAAGGCCATGATGGTTTCACTCAGGATGGGGACAAATATTTACGATATTCTGGTTTCCACAATATGGGAAAGGGGGGTGATTAACTTTGTCCTTTTGAAGCTGACCTTTCTGTGTTAGTATCTGCACAAAATTTCTTCATTTGTGGGAAGCTAAGCAGACCTCTTCCCTGAAAAATCAGTTGCTTTATAGTCTTCCAGATACCTAAAAGGTGCCCACATGCTCTCCACCCTCACAGGAAACTTTAGGTGAGTAGAACTCCTAAATCTGTGATTGGATAGAGGTAGCAACTCCAGTACAAGGAGAGTGAAAACACAGTGGTGTACAACAGGAGAATAGAAAAGAACTCTACAAATTTGAGATACGTTTTAGAAGAACAAAGCCAAGTGCACTTTAACTAGTGAAAAATTATGCACAGTAAAGCAACTGCTCAAGTACAGAATAGGGGACGTTGGTTAGAGGGTGCCCTGCAGAAAACACAACATCCTAGACTTGATTACAGTCTGAGAGCAAGTTAAAAATAGCCATCATCCTTAGGGGTAAAAAATGGAACATCATCTCAGAATGTAAAAAATGGGGTATCTATTATAGTATAGTAATACATAATTCCTTTGGTTTACTCAGTACTGGTGAGATCCAACTGCAGAACCAAGTCCAATTTTGGTACTTCAGGAAAGCAATTGAGCAATGGGAGAAGGTCAGCTGAAGAGCAACAGGAATTATCAGTGGTCTAGAAAGCACAATTCACAAAAAAAGTTGGAAGGAACATAAATTGTTTGTCCTAGATAATAAAAGAAGCAGAAAAGATATGACACAAGTCTTCAAGTACTTCAAAAGAGAAAATTTTAGAAGAAAGGCAATAATTTACTCACAACATTTACTGCAGGGAAGACGAGCAAATTGTCTCCAGGAGGCAAAAGATCAACATTAAAACATCAAAGGAGGATTGTGAAGCTCTGAAATTGACATGGTAATATTCCTCATTCATATCTATTCTATATGTTCTTATTTACAGGCACAGAAGGTCTCTGTTGAAAATTTTCCACAAGATTACTTCCCATCCGTTCCGCTGACAGGTGCAGTGAGAGATTGATCATAAAGCTAAATCAAATGGTCATCTGCTTCTGAGGAGTTAGTGCTGCCCTTCACTATATTACTAGGTGAAAATGCATCACAGCAAAAAAATTCTTACAAGAAGATGCTCTCCTTCCTGTTCATTGCCACCACGCTGATTTTCTTAAATGTGCATTCACAGACTAGGCAGATACAGACACATATGGCACATAACTGCTAATGCTGTCACTGTTCTTAAAGGTGACTGCCAAGAACAATTCATTGAAGTGGGTAATTTGCTTACTGTGTAAAGAAAATTAGCACCTTTGAAGCCAAAGTCTGGAAAAAGAAGAAAATGCCTTCACTGTTATATATTTTTGTGAAACAAGCAGCAATTAATCTATGTGGGCAGAAGTGTACACTGGGTCAGAATAGGCCTAGTAAGAGGATCTATTACCCTCTGAGAGGGTATTATCACTGACAGGGTAGTAATTGATAGGTACAACAGACACTTTGCTTTAGCATCCTTGTGATGTGGTCTGCTTAGCTGCAGCTGCAGATGCTTTTTTTGTGATTAAACTATGATTTGAAAAATTAAGGAACCTTCTGTTACAACTAATCTTTCCTTAGTTACCAGTGACCTGAAATAAAACAAATGTGGTAGAACCAGCATGGATGTCACAGGATGTTATTCTGCAAGATCACTCAGCATGCAGCCCCTCGCTCAAGTGACTCATGGTCCTGGGGACTATGGGGGAGAACAAACCCCCATCCCAGGCTCTGCGCTGAACTCACAGAACTGATCTGAGCTAGAAAGTGAAGATCTTTCCAAGAGTGATCAGCCTTGACCAAAGCCGTTCCCCTTCAGAGAAAGAACTGAGCCATGCCAGCTGGTGTCTCAGGAGTCTGCACACACAAAACACACATGCTTCAGCAGCAGAAGTCAATGAAGAAGGATACCCAGCTTACTCAGTGTTTTTTGGAGCCTGACTTACTTATGCACCTTATAAAACAAGACCTTGGTTTTTTGTGTGAAACCCGTCACCGGTAGCTGTTCACCAGAAATAATTTTGGAAGTACAGATTCTAGAAACCTAGCTGGTCTGGGAAGGAAATAGCCCAGAGATTTTGCTCACTGTGATTTGCAGGCTGTGCTCTGATTTCAAAAGCCCTGCTTGTGCACAAGCACTGAGGAAACAAGGAAACCCAAGCAAGTGCTGTTGAAGTGCTCAGCAAAGCCAGCAGGGCTGTGCCACCAGCAGTGCTGGCACCTGGGGCCCATCCATGTCTCTCGTTCTGCAGAGCTTGCAAGTGGGATGAAGACATGACTTAATGAGGCAGCTGGAAGCTGAATCTAAAGTGATAACAGAACACACAAGGGTGATAACACACTAGTGATCCCAGAAGACTATGTTTTCCTTACAGGGAAGAAAAAAGTATTCTTTGTGAAGAAATTATCCTTAAATACCATATTGTGTTTTGGGAAGTATATGAAAGATATAGGTCATTAGGAGGGTATAAGGTGAAAAGGGGATAGCAGTCAACTGGCAAAGAATTGTGGCTTCTTCATTAATAACTCCCAGCAGTATTGCAAAGCAGGAACAGCAGGCTGTGTTCAGCCAGGAAGTCCATCCTTAGAGGAAACTTCTGTTCTCTTCATATGTTATTTGTAAGTACTCTGTGAAGCTTGAACCTTAACAATTTGCAGACATACCACTGTGTTTTACTGTACATGAGAAAAGAGAAATCACCATGAAATTTCAGATTTGGAATGAGATATACATGTTGGCTGAGATATACATTATATCAAATAAGGCTTAACTGCTGATTTATACCTTTACCAAGGAGCAAGGTATGAGATGACATTGCTCTGCAGCACCATATGGTATCCAGTGTCCATCCATATTGGAAAAGAGAGGAAAAATAATAGTCTTGGAGAACAGGATGCTTTTCACAGAACAAGTGCTATGGCTGTTCCTTTTAATAACAGGAGCAGGAAAGCTGAGGCCCTAAAAACATTCTAGACATGGTAGCACTGAGAACAGTTGCAGAGCCTAGTTACTCTGCTCACAAACTCAGACACCTGAGCATCAGATCACTTTTCAAAATATAATTACACACTTCAATGTTTTATCTTCTAGTAAAATTCTGCCTTTAAAGAAGGAGATACTTTGATCTTTAATTTGTCCCTATTGATATGGCTGGAATGTGTCCATATGGCTGATGTAGTTGCTAGGCCACTCTTGATAATTTCTGATCAATCATGAAGGCTGGGAAAAGTGCCTGAAAACTGGAGGAAAGTAAAGGACAATCTTGACTCGAAGAAGGGCAAGACAACTACAGGCTGGTCAACCTCACTTTCATCCCTGGGAATGAGAAGGAGCAGCTGATTCTGGAAACTATTTCCAGGCATATTAAAAATAAGAAAATCATCATGAGTAGTAAGCATGGATTCACCAAGAGGGAAGTCATTCTAGACCAACTTGATAAATTTCTATAGTGAAATGACTGGCCTGGTAGATGAGGGGAGAGCAGAGGTTATTTTCCACCTGGACGTCAGTAGGACTTTTGGCACTGTCTCCAGAAAATCCTCATAGAGAAGTTGTCTATATATGGGTTGGATGAACAGACAGTAAAGTGGATTCAAAACTGACTTGACAGTCAGGCACAGAGAGTGGTGATCAGACACAAAATCTGCTTGGTAGCCACTAACTAGCAAGTTTGCTGATGATACCAAACTGGGAGGAGTGGCTAATATGCTGGCAGGTCATGCTGCCATCCAGAAGGACCTCAACAGGCTGGAGACATGGGCTGACAAGAACCTCATGAAGTTCAAGAAGGAATAGTGCAAAGTTCTGCACTTGGGGACTAGGACATGCTAAAGGCTGAAAGCAGACAGAAAAGGACCTGGGGGTCCTGGTGGATGACAAGTTGAACATGAGCCAGCAGTGTGCCCTTGGGCAAAGAAGGCCAGTTGTGTCCTGGGCTGCATTAGGAGGAGTGTTACCAGGAGGCTGAGGGAGGTTATCCTTTCCTTCTACATGGCACTTGTGAGGCCACACCTGGCATTCAGTTCTGGGTTCCCTAGTACAAGGGAGACATGGACATACTGGAGGCAGTCCAGTGAAGGGCCACAAAGATGATTAAGGGACTGGAGTACATCTACTGCAAGTAAAGGCTGAAAGGCCTGGGACTGCTCAGTCTGGAGAAGTCTCAGGGGGATCTTACCAATGTGCACGAATACCTGAAAGGAAGATGCAAAGAGGATGGAGCCAGGCGTTTTTCAGTGGTAGCCAGTGATAGGAGGGAAGGCAATGGGCATAAACTGAAATACAGGAGATTTTGTCTGAACATTAGGAAGCACTTTTTCACTAAAATGCCTTTTTTATAAGTACTTTCTTGTAAAATTGAAATAATGTATTGAATTATGTATTTCAAAATGAGATTGTGTACAACTGAGTTGATAGCTCAGTTATGCAGGAACCTGAAATTAATCTGTTTTCTAATGCAGTGACTACAGTGTATTACAGTTCTATCCTTGATTATTCATGAAACAAATTATGTGTGTCCTAGTTACAGAGGCTGGGACCAGTTTATTGCTATGTGGGTATGGCCAAAACTGTGTATTCTACACCCTCTATGTAATTTCTGATGGACTGTTAATAAATGGATTGTTTGCAGCAGCTGCCCAGGGCACACCTGACACCTCAGGCTACAAGCTGAGTGTTAAAACCCTGTGAGGCAGAGGAGTGTTTCTTTGTCTTCACACCAATGACTCAGCTGTGATAACTCCCCTCCAGAAAGGCATTAACACCTTCACACCCAGCCTGAGGGGTCATCTCTGCTAATGGGTCACAATGGACTGGTATAATAGGCAGCTGCAACACTCAAAGATTCCAAAAATCTCCCATGACTCACAGAGTTAAATCACCCATTGTGAAACTCCCTGTCCTGGGGGAGGTACCGGGCATTCCCACCTGAACTTGAGCATATATAAACTTCAGGTTTTGGGACTTCTGGTACCACTCATTGGATCGAGAAGAGGACCAGAACTTCAAGAGGACTGTGACTGCCACTCTTGACAGGGCTGCGACCATCACCCAGACCAACAGGTTTTCCTTTTCTTTTACTTTGCACCCAGTGGGGCCACATGGTGCTCAGCACAGGGGCTAAAGAACACCATTCTGTTCTTGTTCCAGGGTGCTGGGTTATATATCTGTTTGTTGGGGGTGAAAACCAGTTTTCTCTGTATCATTGCATTTATTGTAATCTTTTTTAGTAAATTGTAACTCTGACTTGTAATCTCTCTTGAGTTGGGTTCATTTTTCCCGCTGGTTTACTTCTAAACCAGCACATATGTGTGAGCTGGATGGTATTATTCAATGCAGAATACTTACTTTAAAGTATTGGTTTCTTCTTTTTGTGTTTGAGTGCAAAACTCAATCTAATTCTTAAGAACAAGAGTCTTCATGAAGTTGAAGGATTTGCTGCTTTAAATTTCCACTGACATTGGCAAATATCTCTTGCACCTTCCAGAGTATGGCCTTTAGCAGGTCTTCCCTTTCCTTTCTGCCAATCCTTCTACTAAGGTGTTGAATCTGAATGTATGTGTGCAAAAATCCATTGCAGAACAGGTTTTGAACACCAATTATTTCACACAAACCATTAACAGGTATGGGTGATTGAATAACAATTTTCACCCAGCAGCAGAAGCATCAGAGCTGCAACAGAACTTGTGAACTCTGAACAAGCTTCCACAGTTATGCTACCACCAAACGATTCGCCAAACATTTCCCCTTTTCTTCCATATCAGGAGCATTACCTCCTGATGGAATAATGATCATAATTGTAAAAGCAGCTGTGACAATTACGGAAAATGGAGGTCACATTGCATCATTACCAATTCCACTGCAGTGACTGTACTTTCAGTTGTTTCCCTTTATTTCTGAAGCTGAGCATGACCCAATGAATAATTATAGCTTTACTACTGTCCTCTATGCAGTGAAATGATTTAAATTGAAATCCCTGTGATCATTGTTTCATTTCAGGCTTTTGACCAAATGCCATCTGAAAGGTCTAGGCAAAAATCCTGGCTACTAAAGGTAGCGTTTGGATGAAGCAAAATGTCATTGTATATATGCAGAAGTTCATTCAGATTGTCAGCTAACTACATTTTTAATGATGTCCTCAGAGCGCTTGGAGTCAAGTTGCTTTTTGAAAACTCCCTTTGCCATTCAATTAAATGAATTTTGTATCTTGGAAATGAATCAGATTTCTACTTATCTGGAAATAATGTGGCAGAGGTCAACATACTTGAATTAATGTATGAAGTTTCCGCTTATTGACTCTGACCTCTAAAGCTCTTTTCAGTTTCTTTTGGTGCACCTGCCCAATCAGATTATTTTCAGTCACTGGGTTTTTGTCCAAGCATCAGCCTGGTTGGATCTGGGCTGCCCCTGCAGGTATCTCCGTGGGCTTCTGGGGAGGCTCAAGCCACTCATTTTTTCACAGCAGCACAGATTAATGCGAAACGTGCCTTTGGCTCATCTAGTCTGTTGTAAGAGCTTTTCAACCCCACTCTTTATCTCCAAGATTTCTGCTGAGAAATATATATTTCTTCTGTTCCATTCTCAGTGATCATATCTTTTTGAAAACACAATTCTGGAAAAGAAGTTCAGATCTTCATGCTATGCAGCCCATATAAAATAGTATTGTTGTTGGGGGAAAGAAATATTTGTGGCCAGAACCCATTTTGAACTGCAAGTCTAAATGGATGTATTCTCAGCCAAAAAGCTCTGGACCTGGAAACTCTGGGAAACCTTGAGGACTGCAGGCTTTTAAAATTAATTAGACATTTAGACACTTACTACTAGTACTTCAACTAAATCCCTCTGGTCTTGACTTCTCTCTCTCTTACCACTACACAGTTTGCCCATCAAAATGTAAGACCTGATGATGGCATCATCACTCTGTTCACAGAACCAGACATGCAGAATTACTTGTATCACATCTGAGGACTGTGCTCCTGGATAGGACAAAAAAAAACCATCAATGAACTCTGCAAGGTGATAGATAATGCCATACAAAGAAAGAAACAGGCCCCTGATGGTTTCCTGGAAAATGATAAAAGGATTAAAATGAAGAAAGGAGTGATATGGAGATAACGTGGCCTTTTTTCGTGAACATCCCAGCTGCTGGGAACTCAGGAAGTGGACCCTTAGGCCTATTTCATCTGTCTATCACCCCAGAATTAATTTATTGATTATAGCCACTCAAAAACTGCCTAAAAAAAGGTATAAAAAGAGATTTGACATGAGTAAAAAACAGGGGGGAAATTCCATCAATGCTGCGGAGATAACCGACAGGCTACCCTTTCTCCCTCCACCTTCTTGGGACATTTTGGGCTGAGCAATCGCTTTTTATACACATACACTGATTTTACCTTTGCTCTGTAGTACTTTAAAATCTTTACTTATTCTTTGTTAGTTCTTTTGGCTTTAGAGTTTTTGTTTGTGTTTTGTGGTATTAATATTCTTTGTAATCTATTTTTGCTTTAGCATGTGTGCCTATGCTTTGTATTATTATTATCACTATGTAGTTTAGGTGTGCTTCTTTTGCAGTTAGACCCTATTCCAGACACAGTGAACCCCATAAATGGTCACAAATTTGAATTAATAAACGTATTATTTCATGAACTGTTAGAGTGAGTCTGTTTTCAGGTGCTGACAGTT